TTCCATGTTGAAGCTATTTGGTATAGTTGTCTTGTGTGTCGTAATATACACTAAGTGTGTGTGTGTGTGAATTCGTTGATTTCGTATGAGGTTTCCGTTTGCAACATATTTGTCCTGAGGCTGGCACTCCTTATCAGGCTGAATGCCCTGTAAGTATATTGGGTCAGGTGTTTAGATAAATTTGATATCCTTTTTCCTTTACTTATCGCGTTTCGCGTAAGATAAAACTGCCTCCTTTTCTTTGATTCTGAGCTGTTTGTTTGTTTGTGTGTTTGCAAGTGGCTACTTTTTTAGTTGCGTTCCGTTTTTATTAGGACGTTTCTTTCTTTTTTTTTCTTTAATTACTTACAACTAGTTTAGTTCTTCTGTCCCATCATGTCACCGGCCAGGGTTTCCTGCCCCTTTTTTTTTTTACATGGGGAAATGCATTTACGCATACCCTAGTCCCCGGGGGAGGAGCTAGGGTTATGTAGGACTCACGGCATATTTGCCGTACTACCTACTAAAACCCCATGGGTTACCTACCCGGGCCCTTTCACGGGTGCGCATTTGCACTCCCGCGGGTGCGCCCCCCCTGACTGCGTAAGCATGTGGGGGGGCGCACCGGGCCCTGGGCGTCGTAGAGTCACGACGCCCTACATCTCGAGGGAGGGTGACATAGATGTCACCCCCCCCCTCCGCGGTGTGTTGAGAGAACCACCCTCCCGGACACACCGCCCTACTCTTGGGGGTCGGATCGAAGGCCGGACACTTCGCCCCCCCGTGCCCCTGCGGGGCGTGGACCTAGGTCCTTGGACCTTTGTCCCCCCGCAGGGGGGCTTCCTCCGGTGAGTGGGACTATGTGCCACTCCCGAATCTCCTCGAGAGGAGGGGGGATTATACCTCCCTCCCCTCTTACTCCTCGTCTCTTGCGGGGAGAGGGGAGGCAAGGTTCCCCTCCCCTCCGCCAACCGCCTTTTTGTGGCGGACTACGTCCGTCACCCATCCTTCTTCCGAGGGAGGGTAACCCCCTCGGACCTCCTGGCCGATGTACGGGGGGGGAGAGCAGGGAGGTGGCTGAGTCCTCAATCGTCCCTCTCCCCCCGCCCCCGTCATCCGGGGTCAACCAACCCCCCCCCGACCCCCGCCCGCCGGCGGAGGTGTAAGGGCCGTGCGAGCCCGCGCCCTTGTCGTCGGAGGGGCAGTTCGCGCAACTGCCCCTCGATTGGCCCCGCCCCCGGGGTCGCCGCCGCCAACCACATCCGAAGATGGTTCTGACGGCGACGAGTCGGGGGGCGGTGCCCCGGGACCCCTCGCTCTCCCTCTCCTCCTCTGCCTTTTAGGGCCATGCGTGGGGTCCCCCATCTCCTCCCTTTCTCGCTCCCTCTCCTCCTTTTCGGACATGACGTCCGAACAAAAGGAGGAGAGGGCTTGCCACCTCTCCTCACTGCCGACGATAGCGCGGACTATCGCCGGCAGTGAGAGATCTCCCCCTATTTCCGCCCTCAGCACACGGCGTTGGCCCGCCCATGCGGGACAGTCCCGCAGGGTATGAGCCGCCGTGTCCGGGGCGGAGTTGCAGGCGCGGCACCGTGCCGCGTCTTCACGCCCTATCTTGTGCAGGTACTCACCGAAACATCCATGTCCGGTGAGTACCTGCGTCACCCAGAAGGTGAGACCCCTGCAACTATCCAGCCAGCCATCGAAGACTGGCCGGATAGCCCTGACGGTCTCGTTTTCCGACTCCGCCAAGTGGCGTTGCCACTTGATCAGAAGAGACCGCCAGGCCTGGTGCTTCATCATCTTGACCGCCCTGTCTCTCACGCGTGATGCCCCGACACGGACCCCCTGGCGGATGTCGCGTGTACGACGATATGTCTCGTCGTACATCTCCGCCAGGAGATCAAACGGGGGCACCCCCGCGAGGAGATGCGCCGACTCCGCCGAAGTGGTCTTGTAAGCTCGCGCCACCCTCTGGGCAATGTGTCTCCCCATTTGCAGAAGAGCTCTTCTGTTATGGGGAGACGCCCGGAGGTCGCGAGCCCAGACCGGGGCCCCATACAGGGCCATCGATCTGACCACTCCGACATAGAGTCGGCGGGACACATCCCTTGGCCCCCCGTTATTCGGCAGCAGCCGGCCAAGGGCCAATGCTGCTCCCTTTATACGGGGGGCCAGGCGATCAAAATGATCTTTGAAGCACCAGGTGCTGTCCAGGATGAGACCCAGATACTTCATCCGGGTCCCGATCCTGATGGACGTCTCACCTATTCTGAGTTGGGTCATCAGGCGGGGCACCCGTCGCCGAGGCGCGTGAAACCACAGCGCCTCGGTTTTCGAGAGCTCCACCCTCAGACCCAGGGCGTTGATACGCGACACGAGGTGCCGCGCGCCCACCTCGGCTCGAGCGTGTGCTCGAACCCAGTCCGCCCCCGTGGCGAGCAGAAGTGTGTCATCCGCGTAACACACAACGCTCACACACGGGGGCATGACGGCCTGCAGGACCGCATTATAGCCGATGTTCCACAGCAGCGGGCCCAAAACAGACCCCTGTGGAACACCGGCCGAGACCCTCCGTCGGTGTAGGCCTTCTTTGCCTGGGCATAAGACCCACCTGTCCCTCAGGTAGTCGCCAATGATCCGGCGGAGATAAGGAGGCACCTCGTGTGCTCGAAGTGCCTCCCTTATCCCCTCCCACGGTAGAGTGTTGAAGGCGTTCGCTATATCAAAGGATACAGCGAGCGCCACTCCACCGCGGGAGACAACCCGTTCCGCGAGGGAGCGAACGCGGTTGATGGCGTCAACCGTCGACCGCCCCTCGCGGAAGCCGTACTGGCACTCCGCCAGATCAGGCCCCTTTCGGGACAGGTGATCGACGAGGCGATTCGCGATAACTCTCTCAAAGAGTTTCGCCACCTCGTCGATCAGGCAAATCGGCCTGTACGCGGAGGGTGAGTCCGCAGGCCGCCCCTCCTTAGGAAGGAGGACCAGGCGGGCCTCCTTCCATGTGCGGGGAAACACCCCTCTTTCCAGGCAGGCGCTGAAGAGCTTGCACAGCCTTGGACCGCACGCGCTGTACGCCAAGCACCAGACTTTGCCGTGAAGTCCGTCGGGACCCGGGGCGGTGTCCCGGAGTCCCATCCTCTTCACGGCACTATCAAGTTCCTGTTTTTGGACCCCCATCTCCTCCGACCACTCGTGGTCATACCGTTCCGGGGGGCGCTTGAGCTTCTCCGGGCATTCCGGAAAGAGATTGTCGATTACGCCCCCCAGGAACTGGGGGTT